TTTTGTAGTTGAAAAATAATATATAGTCTATGTAAAACATTAGTTGTTCCTTTAACCCACAGTTCAGGTATAGCGTTATTGTGTGCTTTGATGATTTTGCATTAGCTATGTGGGCTGGCCTCTGGGCCATGTCAGCAGCGCTGAGCCTTACCATCTGCAGAATACATGCCTTCTTCCCGAGCAGCATGTTTTAATCATCTTTGGGGGAGTCTCGGAAAGATGCAATGGCAGAAGCAAAAGCTAACCCTATCTGTAGGAATAAACCATAGCTGGACAGAAGCCGTTCATATGCTAAGGATAGGAGAATCCGTGACGACCCCCATTAGAAGGGCAAGGAATGGCCTCTAGGTATGGGAACTACCCTAGTTTCATGCTCTGCAGAGAGAAGATGTAACAGCTGAGGCGATACTGGTCCTGAAATATCGGGAAAAGCTCTATCTTGGAGTTTTACCGCACTTTCGCATAGACGTCCATGATGTGAACCAGTGATAACTGCCTTACTGGATGGATAGAACCCAGATAGAAATGACTGGGCAGTTCTAAAGAGGGAACGGTGGTGAAGAGAAAGGGATGCAAAGCCCCATTCCCACTGAACTGTGTCCATTCCTACACTGTGTCATTAGACTCTGCTCTGGGCGAGTGTTTCTACGTCTAGCTATGGACACATGTGATGAGCAGCATATTCACCCATTCAAAGCGGCAGTTGCCATACGGAAGGAAACGGCAGATCCAGTTGAACTACCAGGAGGAATCAGCGAGGTTCCGGTCTACTGTCTGCCCACTTTCTCGGAAGCTTGATAATGACAGCGTTAGGATGACTGACGCTGGATGTCGATGAAGAGGCTCGCCAAGCACGACGTTCAGAAGAGAAGAGAGGCTATGTAATACTTCGGCTGTTTGTTGGCATAAATGGCAGTTATTTCAACACACTATTTCTTGATTACTTCAGTTGAGATATTGACGACCTCCGTGGCAGCATAAATAAGCACTAAGACTCAGCACGGAGGAAAACTGGAGGCAACGGA